TTACCCTTCAGTATTCCCCAGCTAAAACCAATTAGTGCTCGTTGCGACTGCTTTTGGTGATAGGCGAACCATGTGTGCTGGCAGCTGGAGCGTTGGTGAGGGCCTCCAGCTAGAGCTGTGCGAAGGATGGGAGCTGTGTTGTGAGGAGTTTCAGGATCCTGTTGCTTTGCTGTCGTTTATCTCCACTGGAACAGTCTCCCTAAACCAATTAAAACCTTATTGTACTTTGATAATGTGCTGGAGCAAGCAGCTGTGATATTACTTGTTTCCAAAGCTGCTTGGGTAATAGCTTTAGAGCATTTTGTTCCCAAAAAATACCAAAGAGTAGGTGCCTTGACAGGGAAGCTTTTCTAAAAACAGGAGTTTTGGCAGTACTGGTGGTGTTCTGAAGTCAATGGTCCTGTGTAAAATAATACTATCAAAATCCCTTCCAGTCTTGATTCCAGTCAGGTGTGTTCCAGACCCTTTCCACACAGTAAACCCTGGGAAAGCTGCTTAAGCTCAGCCTTGTTGATGGTGAGAGAGCTGATAGAACCTAGCCTAAGCCTGTTTGAGATGAGTTAGGGGTGTGAGCTGCTTGTTTTGTTAGCAGTGTTGCTTGGTAGGAATGGCTGACGCAATATCGTGTTTTATCCTGGTTGTAGCTGACTTCAGCTTGAGAAGCAAAACGTACCAGTAGAAAAGGACTTCTAGAGCTGCTTTCAATCAAAGTGTGGAGCCATCTTGGCTTGGTTAGGTTGAGACTGACACCATTTTAACAGCATCTTAAATTTTGTCTTGGGATTCAAGGCCCTCTTGGCTGTAGCTACAGTGCTGAGGACCCCTTTCAGCATCAGCATGATGCAACCTCAGTGGGATTTCTAGGAAAGACGTAAAAAGCAAAGGCTGAATTGTAGCTGAGCTGGACGAGCCTTGCCTGCTCCAGAGCGTCCCCAGGAGCTAATGCTTCTTGGCCATGCTGGCAGCTGAGCTGTGTTTAATGACTTCCCTAAGGATTTGGATATTCTAATCCTGTGCCAGTGCTGTTGTGATGCTGCGGGTTCTGCCTAGCCCTGGGATTTCATTATCTGTAGGTTTCCTACAAGCGTGTGCCTCACGGCTGTGGAGGTGCTGTCGTTTCCACTTACCTTGGACGTTGTTGGTGGCTTTTGATGCACAAGCCTACATTGTTCCACCAACTAGGCTGCTGCAGGTTGTGCGTGTGTCTCTGGAGCGGGACCTCCTGCAGGTAAACAGCAGGCTGCAGCCATGGGTTTTGCTTGGGGCTGGTGGGGTGTGAACTCCAGGCACCTGACAGCTGCTGTGCTTCGACTGCGCTGGCTTCTGGATGCAAAGCCAGCCAACAAGAGCTCTCTACCACGGTGGTAAGGCTCATTGGTTGTCTTTCTGTTACTCTGAGGGAGTGGAAACTTCTCCTCCCTATTTCAAATCAAGCCTGGTGCTCCCTTTCTCACTCCAGTGTGCTTTGTTTGGAGTGCTAGAGGTGTCTGGAGCTTGACATGGTTGTCTTTGAGCCCTCAGAGCATCCTGGGCATGCCTTGACATGGGTTCTTGGCTAAGGGTTTAGCCAAGCCAGGATATGATGGGCTGTACTCCTGTCTGAGATTCAGCTTGCTGTGTCTTTGTGTGCAATGCTTCTTGAGTCTGTGTTTCATACCTATCACAATGATTTAACCTGAAGCCTTTAAATTGTGTGCTGCATGGTGCTGCGTGCCTACTGCAGGGAACCGAATTACCTTTCATGTTTGTTTCTGATTGAGAAACATCCCCAGAAACTCTCAGCTCTTAAATGGGGACTCGATGTCTTTACCAGGCTTCAGGAAGCAGTGTTTGTCTCCTGATGCCTTTAAATGACCTGTCAGCTGGATCACGCTTCTGTTTCCACTTGTTGAACACAGATAAAATGGTGTCCCCTCTCCTGGATTGGGATTGTGCATAGTAGCAGGCAGGACTGGCTGACAACGACTGGGTAACTGGTTATGCCTCGCATGATGTGCCTGGTTGCTGCTGGGGCCTGCAGAAGGATGATGACAACCCACCAGTGCCCCTGGACTGGTGCCTGGGTGAAAGCAGAGGGGATTGCCAGCTCCAAGCCTGGGCTGTAGCCATAGCTGCTGCTGGGCAGAGGACTTCCAGAGAAGCCTGAACAGGCAGTGTGTGTTCAACTATTGCAAAATCCTTCCAAGACGGAGCACTGAAAGCTAATCCTCGCTGGGCTCCAGGGTGCTCCTTTGCTTGTCTTGGCTTGGGGATGTGAGTGTGGAGCGGGTTCTGGAGGACGCAGCCTCAGGCGTGGTATTTCCCGGTGCTTTGGTGTTGACGCAGAGGACTTCCAGAGAAGCCTGAACAGGCAGTGTGTGTTCAACTATTGCAAAATCCTTCCAAGACGGAGCACTGAAAGCTAATCCTCGCTGGGCTCCAGGGTGCTCCTTTGCTTGTCTTGGCTTGGGGATGTGAGTGTGGAGCGGGTTCTGGAGGACGCAGCCTCAGGCGTGGTATTTCCCGGTGCTTTGGTGTTGACTCTGAGACTAAAGGCTATGGGTTTATTCTCGCGCTGCGCGTTTGCAGACTCTTCCCACCAAACTATTCAGACTGCTGAATGGTTTGGGCCCCGTGTGTTTTGAAGATCTGCAGAGCATTTCTCAAAGGAGTATCTCGAGTTTAGGGAGGAGGGTGAGCTTTTCCAGGGGGAGGTGTAGGGACACAAGCCACTCCCTACCAGGGCTTTGATGCCAACCCTTGCATCTGGGATGCTTGCAGTATCTCTGGGATATCCTTGACAGTCTTAAGGTTAAAAGCTCTGTAAGTGGCAGGAATTTTTGTGGAAACGCTTGGCTGTACTTTTACTGTTTTCTCCTCTTGTTTGCAGCAGGACTGGTGCTGCGGGTTGTGGGAAGCATCAAATGCGAAATGAGCAGGAACGGGTCAGGCGTTTGGTTTGCCGCTCGGGTTTATTTTTGTCTTGCTAGCACGGACTCCTAGGGAAAAGCTTTGCCTCCTGCTGTAAGTGGTTCTTTAGCGGTAACAGGAGTAGAATATGGAGTTTCACGCTTGTGCCAAAGGAGCCTGATGCGGCACTTCTTTTTATTAGAGATGACTGGCAGTACTTTCTTAAATTGAGCCTCTGTACCCCTTGGCTGCTTTTTATAAAGAGGACTTGAAGCTTGCTCTGCCTCTTTCCTCTGGCCTGAAGCTTGCTTTCAGCCCTGCCTGCTTTACTCTTGGCTTGTAAATGCTCCTGCAGAGTCCCAGGATGTTATCTTGGGGTGGGCTGAGCTCTTCAATAGACAAAGATCCCGGACCCCAGTGCTAATGGTCTTAAACGGGCTGAAATCCGGAATCAATTGTTCAGGTCCTGCCTGGGGGCATCGTGTGAGTTGACAATTCAGTAGCTTGTTCCTCCTGCTTCCAGTTCAGTGTTTCCTTTGCTTTTTAGCTAACTGGTGGTGGAGGGAGCTTGTGTGTATAGAGAAAACTATCAGATCTTGCATTATTATGGAAGTGAAACTGCTCATAAGGACAGAGAAATACAAGTCCTGTACTCGGGCTGAGCTGAAGTTCCTGTGTCCCTGTGAAATCGCCTTCTGCCACAGGCCGTGCACTGGAAAGCTCAGTAAGGGACAACTTGAAGTAACACCAGCTCAGTGCTTCAGGGGAGAAACATGGGGGGAGTCAGGCCCAAAACTCTTGCAGGAACACATCCAAAAGGTAGATGTATTAAATGTCTCCTTGACAAGTACAAATGGCCCAATTTAGAGCTACAGGCTGCTGTGTGACTTGGAGGAGCAGGAGCTTGTTCGCCAGCCTCGGTGCAATTCAGTTCTTTGAATTTGGCTCTAACTCGATTTGCTTAATGGCAAAGATTCTGTTCTGGAGGCCAAAACTGGCAGGGTTGTGCCTTCCTGCTTGTCTCTTTAATGTGGCTCCTAATTGATAGGGATACTGTTTACTCAGCATGTTCGGGAGCAGACTTCTGCAGTGACTTTTGGGTGGTGAGAGGACCTGCCCTTGGTCCAAAAATGCTGGTTAGAGATTAAGTTTAGTGGCTTCTAGATTGGCAGAGGCTTGACTGTTGTGCAGCTGCACCAAAACAAGCCTAGATGTGAAAGTGGCTTGTGAGCAGAGCTGGGGGAAGGAGCTGCTCTTGCTGGTTCTCTGGACCGGCACCAGGAAGCAGGAGAGGTTTGATCTTTTTCATGCAGAGAGGAAGATTTACAGGAGCTCTGGCTTCTGTAGGATGGTCCCAAAACCTTGATGGCTGGTAGATCAGTGCCTGTGGAGGGTCATGCTAAAGCAGAGCTGGCTTGGGGTAACCTTTTGTGGTCATGAGCTGCTACCTAAAGGGAAAATCAGGATTTGGTTCTCTGCCTTGCTAAGGGAAACCTCAGGATTTGGGGCTGTTTGATTAGTTAGGAAGTCATGTTTTTTTTCCCACAAGTCTGTTTTCGGAAGTGATTGTGTGGCTGCTGACTTGGGCCATTCCAAGATGTTCAGAGCTCCTGAATATGGGTGATGAAGTGAGCCTTGCTCTCTTCTGCTGTGCACAGGGGGAGCTACTGTGGCTTCTCATGGTGGCTGCCTTGACCATGAGCATCCCCCTTCTTCCCTGGTGTCGGGAGGCTGATTCTGGGGAGAAGGCACATGCCTCTGTTAACAAGGTCTCTGCTTCAGTGATGTGATATGCGGAGAAAAGCAGCAAGGAGCTCGAGTTGGCAAGCCTACTCATTTGGGTGTTGTGGCTCTTAGTCTAAAGTTCATCCTGCCTGTGGTGAGCTGGGACCTCTTTGTGACTGGGGCAGTCCCGTGCTGACAAACAGCTCACCCGTTTGCTTAACTGTTTCTTTAATGCCAAGGATTGTGCTTGAGTGTTGCGAAGACCTGGAGCGAAAGCTAATATGAGTATTGGAGGCAATCCAGACGTTCCACAACGTGTTGAAAGCCGGATGGTGAGTATTAGCCTGCTTGACACTATTACTTGTTCTTTTTTTTTCCAGAAAGAAGATACTGGGAGGAGCATAAAAGACTGCTGGGATAGCCCGGATGCCCCTGCACTTTCCACTTGCAGCAATGCAGATATATTCCGCCGAATAAATGCCATGTTGGACAACTCTTTGGATTTCAGTGGAGTCTGCACCACGCCCGTCACAAAAAGCAAACGTGACATCCTGCCAGGTGACGTGTTTGGCTGGCTTCAAGGCGAGCTTGAGGATGCAGGGCTGGCAGGAGAGGGGGGAGTTATTTGGAGGGATTTAGTGAACATGTGGTGGTGGTAATCCTCTGTGGTTTGGTTGTTGGCAGGTGCTTGTGAGCAGAGAGCTTGCTTGGATTCTGGGGTTAATGCTGGGTTGGTACTGGGGGCTTTATTTGTGTGCCTGAAATGGATAACCCGAGTATTCCCTGGCAGCGCAGAGGTGCTTGGGAAGGCTTGCTTGTGCTCCCTGTGACGCTGCGGATCGTCGTGTGGGCAGGATGTGAGCCCTCACTGCCTGACCTGCCAACTTCTGGTGTAGATAGTTCCAGCAGACTCGTGTACAGTCTGCCTCTCCTGGAGGCAGGATTAATCTGTTAGTGGTTAGTATGGCTGATCTGCTGCACACATCAAAAATGCAAAAGAATTTTTTGTAGTGTTTGCTACAGGTCACTTAATCATGTGTTTAAGAGCAGGCTGGAGCAGTACACGTAGGTGAAGACTTTCTTGCAGAGCAAGCTCGGGATTGTGAAATCAGTGCTGCGAGTTCTTGCTTCCTGCAGGAGGCTGAGGGGAGTGGGCATATTCTGTGGCCTTGCACTTGATCTGCTTCAAAATAGGAGGCTGTGTGCCAAAGCAGAGAGTGTCGGGGCCAATCTTATATAAAAATAAGTGAAGGACGTGCTGTTGTCCCTTTAGGCAGCATCTGCCAGTAAATGTACCTGCCCGGTGCCTGATGTGCCCCTTGCCAGCACGCTTCTGTGCAGTGGTACTTGTGCCAAGGATTTGGGCATTGAAAGATTGCTGTTGCTCCTCCAGCCTCTGAATTATAGGGTCAATAAACACTTTGGCCATTATTGGAAACAAACTGACCCTCTGGACTTGTCCCAGAACAAAGTGGGAAGTAAAGGGAAAAACTTCACCAGCTGGTGACCTTGCAGGCTGCTGGAGGCAGAGAAGCTTTTATTGCAGTCGCTTGGAGACAGGGTTGTCTTGTGTTCGTGGATAATCTGATGAGTTTTAATCAAATGGGTGTAAAAAGGGTTGCAAACAGGTGGCTGGGCATCCTGTGGGTCTGTTTGATGGTTGTGCAGTGCAACTTCGTTCTGGACTAGCGAAACAACTGCCACCAGATGACTTCCAGTGCAGCTTAATCTCCCGGGTATTTGAAGGGCTTAGCACTGTGGAGCAGGGGCTGATCTGGCCATGTGATCCTCTGCTGGCACTGCAGAAATGCCAGAGGAAGTGAATCGCTCGCTTCGAGGTACGGATCTGGAGCCAGCAGTGCTCCAAACGTGCCCAGTAAAACTGTACCGGAGGACATGCTGGCTGCTCCTGTGCAGTGGCGTAGTGGATACTGACTAATTCAGGTTAGCGGTGTATTTTTAAAGATTTGCTGCTGTACTGAGCTGTTTAGACTTTTGTCCCTTGGCACAGGGTAGTCAGTGTTGTATCTGATCTTGATGCACTGGAAGCATAAAGGAGAAATAAACTCGAGTATTTTCCTTTCTTGAGTTCATGAAAGAGTTGTTTCTGGCTGCCTTGTTGAAATCTTAGCTATAGTCCTCCATATCCCATTTATAATTGCATTTATAAGTTGGAATGGAAATGTTTCCTAATTAAATTTCAGCTTCCTTGCCAAAGTTAACGTAGTTGATAAAGGAAATATCTTGGCCTGCTAGAGCAGATTCATCCTGTGAAGATGTGGGTTAGTTCTGGTTCTAGGTCTGGGCTTAGAGGTGACGTCAATTTTAATTTACAGTAGTGTCTTCTAGACTTCTGAAGCTCTTCTGTGAGGGACTGGGGTGTTCACCTGGTGATGAAGTGAACCTGCTTACAGACCTGCTGCATGTGAAGCTCTGTCAGTTGCTGTGGTGTTTCTTACGGATGCTTGGAGCAGGGGCTCTTGCTTGGTGCGGAGCTGCTGAGAGGTGATGCCTTGATTGGAAACTGGGTGAATTTCTCTTCAGTGGTGTTAAACTGTGCTTATGTTTCAGGCTGTCACTAACTTTTATGGAAGACACTTTGTAGGATGAGTATGGTGGGTCTTGAATGTAAAAAAGGGAGGCTTCTTCCAGCAAATGTTATTTCTGCTGCAGGGCAACCAAAGCTGGGCTTTTTGGGGACATCTTACACAGCTTTTTTTGTTGCTGATGTAGCAGCTGAGGCCAGTCTCAAGTAGGTGCTGGCTGCTGGCACAGCCATTTGTGTGGTATAGGGGCCCTGCTCAGCATTGGGTAACCTGTCAGGAGGCTCATAGCTTGTACCAGATCCCTTGTGCGGTGGCGCAAATGCTTGTGATGGAAAGCTGCTTGCTTGCTTCCCCAAGGATGCTGGGCACTGAGCTGGGACTAGGAAGCTGCTGCTTTGGGTGCCCTTGCTGTTTAGGCTAATGCAAACATGTGATCTCTTTCAGAAGGTGCCTCTGGGCTGTGCAAGAGACTGATAATAGAGTACAACCTGAACTGCCCGGGCCAGGCCAGCAGTTATCAGCTGTAAATATGTGGATGAGTCAGCATCTGCCAGTGCATCAGCAGTTCAGAGTTATTAGTCCTTCCAGTCCCAGCCTTGTTTCGTTAGTGTCAGAGTTAGGACCTCTTGGTAGGTAACAGGGGCCTGAAAGTAGCAGTCCATCTGTCTCTGGACCAGTAAGGTGCACGAGCTGCCTCCCTTGTTTAATGTGTTGCTAATGAGCAGCATCTCCAAGAAAGCTGATGCTGTCGGCAAGGATGTCAATCCTAGAACAGCGTGATCTGCAAATGGAGAGGTGCTTTGGCCCTTGGACCCTGGCCTAGGTTGTGGTAGCCTTCTGCAGTAATGTGCTGGCTGGAAGGCTGAGCAGCTATTGCTAAAATTCAGTATAGAATGCAGATAACTTCCCCCTGCCCTGGGTAGATGGTTTAGAGCCTGAAGTAGGTGGCTGGAGTTGCTTGCCATGGCTCTGGGTGAACAAGATGAGGCTCTCCTAGATCAGCATCTTGCCTTTGGTGAGCCTGGGTAGGGTGACCAGTGGAGCAGAGACCCTTGATCTCCTGTGGTGTCTTGTAGCTGCTCCAAGTTAAATCACTTGTGAAGAATTCGTGAGCCTCTAGTGCTTTTACTTGGTGCAGGAACAACTTGTGTGTTGTAGTTAGGCTGTATTGTCATGAAACTCATAGCTTGGGCAGTCTAAATGAGCCTGGAGATCCATCTTTAAAATGTAACAGCTATAACAGGCAAAAGGGCTGTCTTTTTACAACTTACTCTTTTGGCAGGAGGGCTTGGGGAAGAGATCTTACTCTAGCAGGGGAAATACTTTACTTTAATCTACTCGTGGTCCCTCAAGCTTTTCAGTTGTCTTCCTCAGGTCAAACTAAATTTATCCTGGATTGGACTTGTGTGTAAGAAGCCCCTTTTGGCGTTAAGAGGATTACATGTGGTGGAGAAGGGATGGCAGAAGTTCATGACCTTTCACTAATGCTATTGGGGAAACACGTGTGGAGACACCTTACTCGCAGTGATGAGGTGCGCAGAGAGATGGTGCTGAGAAGAGATCAGCACAGCAGCTGTCTGAGCAATGTGAGAGAACAAGCTGATTCAGCAGTCCTGTGTCTAACAGTTGGAGTTATCCAGATTTGGGTGGAAGGAACTGCTGTGGGAGATTTGGCCTGCCATACCTGATGTGAAATCTCTATAAAGATCAGTTGACACTTAATGATCAACCTTGGTGAGCTCAGTTGTGTTGTCAAAGTGATGTGAGTCATCAGGCCCAGCCTGACCACCGCTGTGGTGGGTCATGGGTGCTTGCTCCAGGAGTTCCCCAAGCATGAGGCTCAGGTCACCAGGCCAAACCAAAGGCTGCAGTGCAGCAGCGTGGTGAAAGCTGTAATTGTAGAACCTGTCTGGTAACTTCTGGGACAGGATTGTGTGGTCTTTCAAAAAACCCTCTGAAGAAAGGCAAAGGCTGTGTGTAGTCCAAATATTGACCTTTTGTGGCTTTTAGTGTGGTGGTGGAGATGGGAGAGAGAACATGGCCTCTATGGAGGCAGGAGTTGACATTTCCCACCAGCTCAGCTCCTGCCAGTGCTGCTGGAGTACAGCCTGTCCTTGAGCAACTGCTTCACAGGGAACGTGGTTTTCTCCTGTATGTAAAGCTAATCTGCATGTTTGTCCCTGGTCTGAATAAGGAGGTAAGCTAAGTGGGGTTCCTAAGGTAGCAGGTGGTTTGTTTGCCAGGCTTTAAAGCTGGGCCTTTCTGGGTGGAAGGTGCTGCTGCCAGATTTGATTTTTAAAAAAACTTAAACCAATTTTGTGCCTACAAAACAGGCTGATTTCAACTTCCAGCTTGAATAGACCAGTGAGTAAAGCTCTCTGCAGCCTTTGTATGCCCCCTTACCTGGTGAAACTGACTGGCTTCAACTGAAGGCAATGCTGGCCGAAAGCAAATGGGTTTAGAAGGGTTGTAGGTACCCTAAATGTCCCAGCAGCATTGATCTCCCTTTCATTAAGTTCTGCTCCTTTAACTGAGACAAAGCAGCCATTATTTCGGTTTAAGTTGACAGTCTGTTGTGTGAAGAAATGGGAGATGCTCAAATGACTTCCTGGGGATGGGAGTGGCTTAAGGTGCCAAGTTCAGTTTAAAGGCTATTAGTTGTGGTCCATCAGGTCCTAATGATTCTTAGTGGCTGCTTTATTTAAGGAAAACTGAAGGACAAACGCAAACCCAGACTGCTGATGACTGAATCGGCTTCCTGTTAGCTCTCAATTGCAGACAATTAATGACTTATCACTTGTTTAGCCACTCAAAAAGTCCTCTCCAGTACTATAATGTAAATTCCTCTGCTCTTCACTGCCCTGCAGCCATAAGGAAACATGCCAGGTAGTGCTGGATGCAGCTGACCTGATGTGTGTGGTCTTGAATAAGGGGGATGAAGTGTTGTGTGATGTGGAAAACCAAAATACAGTGCTGAGTGTGTGGTGTTAACAGGGTGCCTGAGACAGAGCAAGGCTGTTTGCAGGAGCTCACCTGGAGCTGGCAGCTGAGAACCATTCTGCTTGCCTCAAATAAATGCTCTATGCTTGGTATGGGCATCCAGAAGAGTAAAATTCAACACCTGTGTGTCCCAAAAGGGGTGCACACCTACTGCTGTTGGTTTTTAGCCTTTATATCTCAAGTGTCACACTAGACAGGTCTTTGCTTATGGGGGTGCAATGCTTTTCTGTACTGGAAAGTAGCTCTAGTAAATGGGGTTATTTGTCAAATCTGCAAATGGAAGCAGATGATGGTGGTGTTCTGCAGAGAGCAGGGACTTGGTCTAGAGCTGTTGCGTTCTGCAGCAGTCACAAGTTGGATGGTGTTGCTGAAGATCCAGCATGTTTCCTGACTTTTTTTCTCTTGTTCAGGCTTTGCTGTAATCCTGTGGAAGAGGTGGGTAGAGCAGCAAGGTGAAGTTGCAGGGCCCTCCTCCTTAGTTTCTTCAGTAGTAGCTTGCCAGCTGTTGAGGTGTTTGTGGTAACTGGAATAAGGCGGACTCCTTCACCTGGCTGTGAAACAGGTTGTGCAGTGGCAAATGTCTCTGCTTGAGGAATTTTTCACATTACAGGGAAGATGCTTAGTTGTGCATCAGGAAAACCTCTTGCAACTAGTAGGTTTATGCCTAACAAAGGCTTTCCTAAGCCCCTGATGATCCCCAGTGTACCTCAGGAATACAATTGGCTCATCCTCTAAAAGCATTCACTTGAGATTTGTTTGTCTTGTGTGCAAAACGTACTTGAGAAGCTTAATTTTCAGGGATGCAACTCCCAGCGCTTACAACTGGAGGCGTAAAGAGGTTTGAAAGGGAAAACAATGCTTCTGCTCTACGCTGCCTTCCTGTTTGTGTTCCCAAGGCTGTGGAAATGCCTCTTGCTTCTCTGGATTTAGTTTGGAAGTTCAGCCTTGGTCAGAGCTGTAGTCCCCAAGGTTGCTGCACACCAAGGTGGGTTGGGCTTTGTCCCTTGAACAGAGCTTGGAGCTGAGTTGTGCTTATCCTTCCCCTGCTCTGTGCACTCAGGAATGTTTTTTTGTGGAGGGATTTCCTCTGTTTTCAGGCTCTGCTAGAAACTAGCATGTGGCAGCAGAGACATTTCTTCCTGGCTGCAGACGTGGTAGGAGTGGGGTCTGACTTATTTGGTTCATGTTTGCTTAACCATTCTGTTGCCTTCTTTCTCTGGATTTTCTCACTTTCAAAGATAAAACCTGTTTGCTGGATTTTTAGCTGACTTTGCAAGTGGCCTGGGTCTGGAAAGTCAAACATCTGAACATCTAACCCACCTGCCACAAACTGCCTGTGGGGCACAGCTCTGACTGCCAGTCCCTGCTTGTCCTCTCTGCACAGGCTTAGGCTGTAATTTCCTAAATATTTTCCTGGTTTAAATGCCTGGTTGGTGTAGCCACACTGCATACCAGATCAGGGAAAATGAGCCGGGCTTAAAACTAACTCCCAGTGATTAGGTTTTAACCAGACCAGCTCCCCAGTCCAGTTTCCAGTGTGAAAACTCATCTGTCTAAACTGGTGTGAGTGGGGAGGGAGAACTGGGGTGGAAACAAGTGGCTGGGGCTGCAGCTTGTGTGAGCCAGCAGGGCTGGTAAGGTTGAAGTGCAGGTGAAGAGCCGAACTGTGTGGAGATGTTCACCTCTAAGAAACCTTTGAAATGTCTAAAATGCAATGCCAACATTTAAAGTCTAAAAAATGTGGCTTTCCATCCGGGGGGTGGTGTGGAAAGCTGTCCAGCCTGTGCTGTGGTGTGCTGTGGCTCCAGGGATCTCCTGGTCAGACAGGGGAGTCGCCTGCTCCGAGACCTGCATGGGTTACTACGGATTTACTTCTCATGATGCTGTTGAAATCAAACCACACCAGCTCGGGAGGCGGGAGCTCAGCCTCTCCGAGACGCTCGGGCACAAGCCCAGCGCAGTGCGACTCCCTCTGCCAGGATGGTTGGCTTCCAGTGGCAACTCCAGGGAAAAATCCAGGTTGGAAAGACTTATGCTGGTTCTTGGGGCTTGGAAAAGTCTGCAGTGAAGTGTTTGAGCTGGGTTGGGCTGCGTCAGGTTGCAAAGTGGAATTATTTAATATTTGGTAGGCGTTTCCTTATTAATAACTTGAGGTTATGACTCTGACTCCCTCTGCCAGGATGGTTGGCTTCCAGTGGCAACTCCAGGGAAAAATCCAGGTTGGAAAGACTTATGCTGGTTCTTGGGGCTTGGAAAAGTCTGCAGTGAAGTGTTTGAGCTGGGTTGGGCTGCGTCAGGTTGCAAAGTGGAATTATTTAATATTTGGTAGGCGTTTCCTTATTAATAACTTGAGGTTATGACTCTTTAGACTGAACTCTTGTAGGAAATGAATTCTTCCTGCCCCAATATCCTATTAGTTTTGTCTGCCATCAACAATGGATGGCTTTGTAACAAACTTCCAGGCTCTGAATTTGAAAACAACTCTTTCAGAAATCCATTTAAATTCTATTTTTTAAGTTGCTGGTTTTCCTTGCTGACCTGTATCCATCTTTCCATGTGACTGGGGGGTGTTAAAGGGGAAGCAGGCTCGTGCTTGCTGTTTGCTTTGGATGAGAACAGGCCTAATTAAAAAACGCTGGTTATAGAAGCAAGTTCTGCTCTGTGCTTCGGCAGTTATGCCCGTAACTGAACTGCAGGGAGCTTGTCTTTGATGTAGATTGAAGTCATCAGAGGGAAACGTAGATCTCGAACTCAAATCTGTTTGGGTTCAATTAAACAAAACAGCTTATTTCCTGAAAAATGTAGATAGCTATGGAAAACGTGCCTGGGTGCTGTGGAGTGAGCGCTTCCCAGAGCTGATAAATTTCTTCAGTGGTTGGTTTCATCCAAGGTGCTGGCTGAGGGACTTCGGGTGGGATTTGAGTTCTGCTGTCTGTCTGTTCTTTGTGTCTGTGTTTCCCCAAAGATGAAGCTTGGTGGGAATTTATCTTGAAGATGATGTAAAACCTAACAAGATCCTGGCCCCCAAAGGGAAGGTCGTCTCCTACAGGCAGGAATCTGGGCTAGAGCAGAGCACTTGTGCGCTTTCATAAATGCAGAAATGTTACATATTCAGATGGGCAAGTTATGGTTGCTGTGGGAACAGAGTTGTCTGAGCAGTGTGCCTTCATCCTCTCTTCCTTACAGCTGCAGTATAGATGTTTTTAGGGCCTGTCCAAAACAAACCATCTGAAAACTATACTAGAAGCATTATTGCGGGGAAATACCCCGTGCTGAAGATGCAGTGTGATGCTTTCGGAGGAATATTCGATGCTGTTACAGGTGCTTGATAGTAACGTGACTGAATTGGCACTACAGCTTGTACTAGTACTACTAGGAGTAGAAAAAAACAACCTGGTGGATGCTATGCTGGTGAAGTGCTGCGGAGGAGGCTGCAGCTGGGAAGGGGGAAGGTGGCGCGTTGCCAGCAGGTACGGTTTTAGCTGCTCTCGTCCTGACTGCTGCATTTCAGCCCCCTTGCTGTGATCTGGGAATGTTGGTGCTTCCCAAATTGCTGTGGGGTGAAGGTGAGGGCCCCACCTCCAGTGATGGCAGCGGCCTGTGTCTTGCATAGGGTACCCGGGTGATGGTGGGGCCTTGCCTGGGCTTCGTCGGCTCAACCAAGTGGCACGGGATGTGGCTGTGGGTATGGAAAAGGAGACTGGGAACGCTGTCTGGGTTGGCCGGAGCTGCACGTGAGGGATAACGTGACAGGCTGGAGACACTGCAGCGCCCTGCTGAAGAGCCAGGAGTGGTGTGCGTGTGCGAGGTGTACATCTGATGGCACAGTGGGAGGGTGTGGGGGCAGGGGAGGAGGAGGAGACAGCTGCTGCTGCTTGGTAGCTGGCTTATAAATGCCCTCTGACTCAGATTTTGGGTAACACAGCTGAGCATCTTGTGGTTTCATCAGCCCCCAGATCCCTGCATTAAACTGGAATTCTCAGACTATGAACCTGCTGCATTTCCTTAGGCTGTTGGCACAGCCTTAAACTGAGGCAAGAATCCAGTGTCTCCAGTACTGTAGGCTCGTGAACACCCCGCAGGGGAGGGGAGGGCTGGGAAAGGGGGGGGAAGGAAGGTAAACAGGCCATGAAAAATTCCTG